TAATATCAGAGATGGCAATTACTAACCTAAGAACATGAATGTGACTGAAAACAGTCTGTTCCTACAGCCATAAGCGTGACACTGTATACCATTGGTGCTATTGTAATTCCAGCAAATGTCAATATAGAATAAACAGGTAAATGTATAAAATGTAAAAAGTAAATTTGCCAAGACAGTTGTTTCATGTGGAGGTGATACAGAATATCTCTGAGAGGTGAAAAATAGGATCTGAGTTAACTACTTTTAAATGAATACCAAGAACTTCTCTGTATTGTTGTACTTTTTAATTAGATGAAAATAAATGAATTGAAAAGATGAAAGGAACTCATGTAACATCTCACTTCAAAGGGCAGCTCCACTCTTGAGGAGTGTTTAAAAAAAAGAAAAAAGAAAAGAAAAGGAGCTTATTCAGGAAATAGGCTTTCTCTGTGGATTTGGTTTCACTTTTACCTGCTTTAGAAACTCAGGAATGGCTTCTGCTCATTTGACCTAAATGGAGTCATTACTTCAGTGTAAAGGAGAGTGGCAGCTGGCTGACAGTGATGTTCCCCCCTGTGCTCCTTCATTGCACTTTGCATTGACTCAGCAATGCTCTCAAATGAGTGGGATTATTTTTGACCTTGTGATGGGATTTTTATCAAAGTTCCAAAGCTCTGGGCTGTGTTCTGGACAGAAATTGCATATGTGCGGTGGCTCTATGTCTGGATTTACTTTGTCTGGGCAAATGAATTGAAAAAAAACCAGCTGAATCGCTCATCTGCCTGCTGAGCAAGTCAGCCTTCCCAGAATCCAGAGGCAGGTGCTCCCATCCAAAATACCTAAAAGCCATGCCTTGTATACTTTCCATATCCAGAATAGCTTATGTTATGTAAGATATTTCACCACCTCAGCATTGGATGGTTGGTCTTGAGGACCGTTTTGGACTCCTGACTTACGTCAGTGCTGCCCAACTCCAGGGTAATATTTTTGTCTTCCAGCAAATTTTACTCCTAAGTCCTCTCTTTAAACATGAGTTGTTTGTTTAACTCTTAAGCACTTTATGTCCAATCACATCTGTCCAGGCCATGACTCTTGTCATCATATTTCCATGTAAAGGTGACCTGGCTAAGGAGAGGATGAGTTCAAACTGTCCAAGATGTCACGGTTTCCTTCCTTGTTTCAGTTGCCTTGAAGAGTGGGATAGTGGCTTTAGAAAAGAACATTTGTATGCAGAAGCCTAACAGAGAAGTGTCACAACAGCCAGTTGAACAAGGATTCAAAGAAAGACTAGCCTATCTCCAACCCTAGGAAGATCATAAAGGTGGGACCTCTCTCCGTAAGCAATAGTTTTCTCTTGTGACTCAAAGGAAAAATTGCTGCTTCTAGAAATAGAGGTCTTATGTGACTTGTAGAAGAAGAGCAGCTCATCAGCTTCATAACTCCTTGATCGATTTAGGCAGGCTGCTCTGTTTTTCATTATGCCACGAGCTGTTTAACCAGTTTGCCAGGTAGCAGGTTGATGTGAAATGCTATTAGCTTTTCACAAACACAATCAGCTAAGCAATTGAGCTCATCCCAGACGTGATTAAGTGGGATCAATTATAATAAGAACTAGATAAGAGAGATAAGCTTGTTGTTTCTTGGGTTGGTATTCTGCAGGATTAGGCATTGTAAGTATCCTTTATACATCATCAGCTGCAAAACCTTTATTACTTCAGGAAATGGCTTCTAGATCAGCATTCAAATGATCTTCATCCTAAACTGATTATTCTAACACTGGAACTGCCATTGAGTGAGGGAACAACTTATTTGAAGCATCAATTGCATCAGACAGAAAAGTAGCCATTGAAGCCAGTTTTGCAATGCAAGGAGCATGTTTGCTCTCAATCCTAAATACAGTTAAATATTCTGGGAGAGAGCTCTCTGTGTCCCAAGAGGGGAATAACTACCCTTTATAGCATCATGTTTTGCCGTGGTACTAAGTAAAATTGCTGTAGCACTTAAGGCGTAATTTACTAAATATCAGAATTTATAGATTTGCTAAATGTCAGAATTTGTAGATGATTCCTGTGAATTCTTCTGGGGATACAGCAAAATGATCAATTCAATAGCTGGAAATATGGTGGAGATGACAGCTTTACATGAAATTGTACATCAGGTGTTCAGTAAATCTGAAGAGTATATGTGAGAGTCAAGTGCGCTGGAAGTAGTGTAAATATACATATTATAGGAATAATGAAATATTAGTGCTTTCTTTATCAGAAGTGGAAAGCTGGTAATGTAGAAATAGAGGGGGCCCTATGAACATATAAAATAAAAGAGAGGAATGTTGTAAAACATTGTAATTGTAAAAAGAGAGACTTGTTCATATCTTTGAGCAAATATTTTTAGCATTGTTTTCAATTCTTTTATGTCTGCTGGTTCTTGCAATGGAGCTCCCAGCAGACAATTTTTTTGTGATTCAGAAAGAATAAATAAGGCAGGTCTGACAAAACAATGCAAGATGCATATACTGCCACAACGATTGTGCTGTTCTGGAGCATAATGCTTGATCAAAACCCCACAATTGTGTTTGCTTTCTTTTTTCTGAACAGAAATAGATTCCTAAGGTCTGGACTATTTCCATGAAAATCTTTAAGATCTTAGAAGTAACGTGGTTCATGCATCTCTTCTATTGCTTAGCAGTGGATGTACGGCAGTTTTCTGCTTAGTTAATAATCACATCTAATGAACAGAAATCCAATTTTCGCTTCCCCCTTTACTATAGGTAAGATTCGGAGGCCTTTGAAGATCTAGGCTGATGCCTTTTTTGCCCTTTTGAGCGCTTCTCTATTCTGATAACGATAAGGTTGTTGAGGGTTGCGCAGTCTTCTTGATGGGCTCAGTGCCAGTGTCTCTGCTCTGGTCTTTAGTTCCCAGTGTTTTATTTGCTGTGCTAGCCATTGCTAGTAACTGAGCAGGGCAGGTCAATTCGCCCTCATGGATCCTTTCTGTAATCTCTCCTTGGCAGCTGTGTGGGACCACTGTGACATTTCCTGCAGCCAGTGCAAATTTTTAATGTTTTTCTGCATTTAATTCCAAAACCACTGTTAGCCTCTGCCTTATCTCTTCTTCCTTCTCCTCCCCCAATTTTTCTGGCTTTTTGGATAGAGGGTTGCTTCCCTCAGATACTGGTCCACAGGTCTCTGTGAAAATATTCCTAGTGTTAGGTCTCTTTCAAATCACAAGTGGCCATTTTAAATTTCATCATTGACAACCAGCAAGGTTTCTTCCCTGAAGTTCAGGAGCAATAGGCTTTGCTATTAATTATTACTAGGCAAGATTCAGAAATTCCCAAGAAGGATTCTCTGGCCTATTTTGTGTTGAAATACGTGAGCACGAGTGATCTCTTTTAGGCCATTTATCCTTGTAGCGGTCCACCCCTTTTCTCTTACCACTTGGTTTATAATTATTTGCTGCCTCTATCTCACTCCTTTCATCCCAGCTGAACATATTATCATGTATACACAATACTCTTGCATTATTCTTTGGTGGAACTTTACCAAATATTTTTGGAAGCTTTACACGTCCTTCACTTGACAGTGTCAATTGCAGTGTTTAAATTATTTGATAACTTTAGAAAAATGAAATAGAAGATAAGTAAGAAAAATCACTGTAGAAGTGAGAGCTATTATGCTATTCTATGGAGGTTTATTTTATTAAAGAAAAAACATTTGAAGTCTGACATTTTTAACCTTTGAGCTTTTTCACAATACATATTTAATTGTGGCACCAAAAGCTTTTTACATGCATTATGAAAAATGATACATCCAGCAAAAAAAAAAAGTAATACCCTATTTTCTTGTCTGTTATGTGTGCATGTAAAGTATTTTTGCCCAAGAGTGCCTCTGTTGTGTTCCATGTTGTCCAGTCATTTTTCAGTGTGGACATCATCAGCCCTTTTGGAGAAAGATTCAAGGAACACCAGGTTACTGGGAAGGTCTCATCCTCATGGTCAGAGTTTAATTTTAAACTTAAGCCATGAGATTTGGGGTTGTTGCTGGTGGGTTCATTGCCAGCATTAACTGTTACAGTTTTGGAGACAGCTCCCTCCTTCTCAGAGAGTTGCTGTGACCCCAGGTTCAGCCTTAGATGGTAGTGAGCTCTGTACAGTTTTGACTTCATCAGTTGTCAGCGTTATTCTGCGTTCCCCTTGGTGGTGAAGCAAGCTGAATGATCAGTCCTTAAACTTCTTGTGGACTGCGGTGCACACAAAGCCTAAACAAAACGTATTTTGATGCTTGATATGTTGTCCCTTCTGCCCCCTTGAAATTCTCTTGGGCACCACTTCCTGAATACATCCCCACCTTGGAGCTGCACCTTCTCCTTCTCAACTGTGGAAAAGGCTGCAGTAGTTCATCAAATCTGGCATTTTTGTTTCCATTTGGTGTTTCCATTAAAAAATGTTGGTAGGTGATGTACATTTTCCCCCGCCCTTGCATAGAGCTCTTGTTATAGGTCAGTTATTTTTAATTTCCAGGAAGAGCACATGGAGGGAGACTTGTAAGTGATCTTCCTCTTTGCTCCAGGTAAGGAAGGTCTCTTCTTGCCTTCTAACTCAATTGTATTGGATGTAATCACATTGGGGTGGGGGCGGCAAACACAAAGTCTCCGCCTGTCTCCTCACGTGTTCCTGACATCTTCTGACATTGTCAGAAGGTAACTTAGGACCTTGTGACATTAGCTCATAAGACATAACTGTCACCCATTACTGTAAAAATCCAAAACCCGCAAGTAGGCCATGCAGGGGAAAATATAACTTTCTCTGTGCAAGCAACTGTTCATATGAGCCTCTATAGCTTTGAAGAATATATTTTTGCTTCATAGGACACTACAAGACTGGAAGATGCATCCCTAAGGGACGAGTTCCCACTCTGCAAGTTAGAGTCACTGAATATAAAATAATAATTCTCAAAATAGATGTAAAGTCTGTACCGTAGCTGCATGATTTGTTTACTGTGCTCATTTGTTCCATTCTCTAGGTTTGAAGACGGCACAGTCTCTTTTCTTGATATCATTGCTCTGAAACATGGATTTGATGTTCTGGAAAAACTCACAGGTCAGTTAACGTAACTCTAATACTGAAGAGTGAAGTTCCAGATTTATACTCAGGGCACAAGTCTGATCATATTTCCGATGTCTGTAGCCTAATTTTTCTTTCTAGATTTATTATCCATGTTCATCAATGTGAAGATCAGACTTCAGTGTTTGTTTATCCAAGTCTTGCGTATTGGATTATTCCAGCATGGTTTGGAAAAAACAAATTATGCAGACTGTTCCCCACAAATACACATACAAGGCTTGAGCTCATCGAGCACATCTAGTCTGCCTCACACTCACAAAAATGCAACAGGAAAATAATAGTAGAAAGTAGCTGAGCTACATCATCTTGAGACTTGATGCAGTAAGAGTTCCTGCTGTGCTTGAGGACCAGGCAACTTGACCTGGTGCAGAAAAGCCATTTGGTAATACAGATTAAGAGAGGAACCAAAAAAGAGAGTTTAGCGTACACCCCAAAGCTTTTTGTTAAATAGGAAATATAGTCCCACTGGGCAGGTAGCTGTCTTCAAACAGCGAACTTTCCAGACTATGACTTTTCACAGCAGTTAATTTATGTCTGTACTTTAACACACTTTAATGGAAAGCACCATTATGTTGTTGGCTTTTTTTTCTCATTTTGTTCTCTATTTGCTGTAACTTAGCACTGTAAGTCTCATGGAAATTCCCAGAAAAGCACATGGTTGTGAAATTGTAGTGCAGTTCCTGCCTCTCGAAGTGCAAAGTGAAAGGAGAAGAGACAACAATCACAGGCCGCAACGAGGGAAATTCTGACTAGGCATTAACATTGTTAAGGACGAGGGTAGTCAAAAATTGGAGCAAGTGCCCAGAGAGACTGTCAAATCTCCATCCTTGAAGATGTTCAGAATTTGACTGGGCTTGGCCCTGAATGATCTAATATAGCTTTAAAGTTACTGCTGCTTTGAGCTGGAGGTTGAACTGGATGACCTCAGGAGGTCAAACCTAAATTAGCCTATGATTCTCAAACTACCGAAGGCTAATGCCTCCCTCCAGGCAGAGGGCATTATAATACAAGCTGGGGCATATTGAGCTGTGAAGAGTGGAAGACAGACCTTTCCAGTTACTGCTTAGAGCATATTCATGCAGTAGACTGAGTCTGTGTCTCTGTGCAGATTTATAAATAATAATAAATCTCTGTTGAGATTTATTAAACAAGCTCACAGCCTGCCATCTTGATCTTGCCTGTGGTTTATGGAATTGAAATTCTTCAGTCACACTAACTTTGGGAAGCTAGTGCAAACCTGGCAAAGGTCTCTTTGCAATGGACTTCCCTGGAAAGATCATTTCCATGGCACATTTACTACCATGACTTCATCTCCCCAAGCAAAGGGCAGGTAGCCTGGGATAAGAAGCCAGTGTGGGCTTTCTGGCTTGCTGGGGAGTCTCATGACTTTGAAGTTCTTTTCAGTGGCTTCCACTGTTTGAGTATCTTTGAAGCCCTTAACATGGGGCTAACGCTAAAGTCCCAAATAAAATTTTGAGCTCATCTTCAATCCAGAAGCTCTGTGTGAAGGCTGATGCTCATGTGTGTTGTTGACTCCAGGGTCGCCTGCTGCTTGTCTGGCTCAGCACCCCAAAATGCACAACCTCTCTGTGATTGCTGCCATGGGTCAGTGATTCTCCTGAAAGGTGCAGGAGATGACACCTGGCCAGGGAAGCTTGCACCACTGGCTGTGCAGGAGGCTTGCACCATGGCATGCTTCCACATGTGGAGTGTGTCAGGTTAAGAACATATTTTCCTGAAATATGTGTTTCATATCCAGGTATGTGCACAGTTAATGTGTAATGTCTGAACCTCCCTTCTCCAATTTTCTCCAATCTCTCAATTTCCTGTAGAAGGGCATAAAGTGCATCATGATGTAAAAGAGACCCGAGTCCAGAGAGACACTGACTATGTATTTTTCAGGCCAGTATCATTTCTGCTAGCGGAGCTTTATTGTCAGAATTTATCTGAAGGATTCTACTTTCTTCTTCCTCACAGAGCAAGACTTCTGTGAGGAGTATTCTGTTAGATATTTGAGGTCTTGCTCATGTGGAAATCAATAGCAGAGTTTTCATCCACTTCAATAGGAGCTTGACTGAGCTCCAACAAGTAAGGATGTTTTGCTTTATGATGGTCCGCATGGAAACTAGAGATCAGAAACCAGCCTTTAGTATATGTTCTTGTAGTATAAAATGCTTCCGAACAATGTACAATCTTAAACAAACACATTCCCTTGTAAAGACGGCTAAATGCTTTGGTTTAATGTGTAGGAGGATTGCCTGCCATAATAGGAGAGTTGATGATAGCATCTCCTCCATTGCACTTCTTGGCCATCTAAACCTCCTGTTGGTACCTATTTCAGCTAAACAATTGAAAAATCTCTTAGTACTAGACTCAGGGCAATACTTAGCCCTGAACCTGAATAAAGTGGATAGCAGTGGATAAAAGGGCAGAATAGAGGCATGAATAAATAGTATGTTGAGACCTTTCAGTCTTTATTATTGCTTTTAATTTGCCTTCTGACCTATAGCAGTGTTGAAAATCTAAGGCAGCTGAAGTGGCTTGGAATAACCTGTCAAAGGGGTTCTCCAGAAAACTGTTATGAGGGTGGGTGAGTTGGCCTTAATTTTGGGCTCAGTTCATTTATTGCTTATGGGGGGGTTGTTCGTTTGTTTGAAAGTGTTTTAAAGTCTGGCTTGAAGTAAAAACTTTTTGTCTCCAGTATCTGATGAACTTTTTTTTTCTTTAACACGCATCAATACCAAGCCTAACTGGTTCAAATAGCAAAGCAGATGCATTTATACTACTTTGAAGGGAATATGGTGAATTGTTTTATTTGTTCATTAATAAAAAATGCATTTGACCATATCAACACCATATTTTTTATCAGTACGTTTGAATAAAATCATTAAAAGGCTTTTTATGGCACTCTTTCATCACATTGAGAAGAGTAATGGTCTCCTGTCTTCTGGATGCTAGAACACTTCCGTATATGTGGTCAGAAGTAGACAGGCTGGATTGATGGGTCGAGGCCAATTGTATGAGACTCAACAAGGCCAAGTGCCAGGTCCTGCACCTGGGTCACAACAACCCCATGCAATGCTACAGGCTTGGGGAAGAGTGGCTGGA